TTGCCTCTCTCTCCACCTTCCAACAGATGTGGATCTCCAAGCAAGAATACGACGAATCTGGCCCATCCATCGTTCACCGCAAATGCTTCTAAACAGTTTTTTGTCACTTATTCAATTTATTCCTGCCATTCACTTTGTCCCTTTTGTTTTGTGAAAAGATTTAACAAAAATTCATATAAACATATCGGATGCTCACTGTTCTTCTTTTAATTTCAACTTGAGAAAGTAAGCTTTAGCTTTTTGCTTTTTTTTGCAGTTTCGTGTTATGGTTTGTGATCTTTATCTTGATTGTTTCTTAGAATCGGAGTGAGAAAGAAGCAAAAAACAAAGAAAGACAACTTAGCGATTGGAAAAGGTCGGTTTTGTATTTAATCAACGCTGTTGTAGAATGTGTGCTCCGCAATCTGATGTCTATATGATATTCTCATGTAATCTTTGTATTTTTCATAATTTGGAGAATGAGGCTTCTGCGAAATGAAAACAAATAATAGCGTACAACATTCCTTTCTTCTGAATCAGCTTTGAATCTTGTTTCGTGCAGTAGCACCCATACGCTTGAACATTCTCTCATAGATGAAAATATTATGTCTAGTCGTATTTTCTACTTTGAAATTCCTAATCCTACTTGTATCAGAGATATTTCTGTTACAATATTTCAAGAGAAGTGTTTTCTCTCTGGGGTTCAAGTTGCAAGTTTCATCTTCTCAAAACTAACAATTGGCGTAACGTAATGAGAAGTGTTTAATCATAAGATAAAGTTGTGAGCTCATGAAACATTGTTCAGAAGAAGAAAAAACAGAAATCAACCAGCTTTAATTCCCGTTCTAAACCTTGCAAAATGTCAATAAACCCAAACTGGAGTAGAGGTGTTTCCATTCTTCCGAGCTAATTCAAATGTTCAATCCCTGGTATGATCCTGTCGAGCAGTTAAAGTAAACTGTTTTCTGACTCATCCACTCATATCGAACGGTTGTATGGATAACTGGGGCCAAGAGAGGAGTGGAAGAAGAAAGCCTTTTCACAGACCGTAATTAGCAACAGAACAACGTTAATCTGAAGAGCCGAAATCTTCAAGCACTAAGAACGTGCCAAGCTGTTTCTAGAGCGCCAATTCGGCTTACGAGCATTTATTGTTTTTCTTGATCTCACAGCATAAATCGAATAATTAATTGAGAAAAATCCCTAATTTGTTCAGAAAATGGCTGACGCTGCGGATCAACCATCCACTAGCAATGAAGACGATTACGGAGAAGCTACATACGCGATGAGTAGGCATAGAAAAAATAAAGTATGTTAGTCAGACGAAGTAAGTAAGCAAAGTTTCATTTTTGCAGATTCTCGTTTGGAAAAGTAGAGAGCACGAGGGAAGAGTTTATGAGTTTACATTGGCAACTCGATTCAAAATGGATGGTGTTTTCTCTTGGCGGTGCTTACAATGTTCTTTAATCAAGGATAAGATGAAACGCAATGTAATGATTGAAACAATTAAAACTATCTGATTTTAAATATCTTCAGGGGGAATCGGTAAAAGATAAAAAGGTACCTTTGCTTCTTGTTGATAACGATGTATTAAAAGAAAATCCTGATCGACCTAATAATGCAGCTCATTTTTGTGAGGTCAGTTGATGTACTTCTATTCTGAATTCATACAATTGCTTTAATAGGGTAGAGATCTTGTTGAATCTGCAGTTTTAAGATCTAAATTATTGTTTTATGAAGCTCATGAAAAATCGTTGATTGAGCCCACAGATGTGGTAAAAGAGTTTGTTGAAGAAGCTGCTAATACAGGTAATAGAGAAAGCTGTTTCCAAACTGTTCTGCTTCAGCTCCATTCCAACTGACTCCTGTCCAAAAAAGGTCTATTCAAGAGTATGTTACTGAAAACGTGGCGAAAATAGGAATGAAAAAAACCTTGTTGAGGCGGAGAAAAACTGTCGGGGCGGTAATCATATACTTTCATTTAATGATAAAGGTGTCCAATGTTTCAGAAAAAAAGTGCTAAGCCTCATATTGTATATGAAAAATTCATTCAATCTTCGTTCTCATCACCAAAGGTAACAAACAACTGCGAAAAACAGAAAACTTAGCTTTATATCACTTGTAGCCTATGAAGACACGGTGTGACTCAGACATATCTTTCGACGAAACAGACGAACTAATTGATGTCGAAGATGTAGAAGGTTTGTTCCTACTTTGAATTCTTTCTTTATAATCGCCAAAGTTTCAGGTGAGATTGATATTCTCAACAATCTTGGCTCCAGGAAGTACTGTAATTCCTTCATGAAAGTAGAGCTTCAGCAGAAATAGGGCTGATGAGTTCTTTAGTGAGAGGAGTTCTAAACTCTCTACAGTCTCTTTTGTAAATACTATGTATATTTAATGATATATTATCCTTGTACTCCTGTACATTACTCATTTACTTGGCTGATGTATTCATTTTTCCGATTTTCCGCGGCATTCGATGCTATTTTATCAACTGATACTTCGATCTTTCATGTTATGAAAGCGTGTACATAACTAACCCAAAAATGCTAGAATAAACGTTTGATAATATTGAATTCAAATAGTAATTTCAAGTCTTCTATCCTCTGTGAATTTCAACTAGCAGGCAAACTCTGTGGAACAAAAGCAATGTTAAAGGACTGTCATTGGCTGCGTTCCGCAGCGCTCAGAAAACTTTAGAGAAAAATGAAATTTTTTTTTACTTTTCGAAACCTTTTAATTAAATTATACTTGATCATTCCCCAAAATTCTTATACATTTCAATTTATTCAGATGTTCAATGAAAGGAACTTATTCTGTACAAAGGAAGAAGGGCTTGTAGACTATTTACTTAAGTTAAATCCTGCTGAATTTTACTGTACGCATGCTGGAAGAATTGTACAAGATGCAATAACATTTGTAGAAAATAACAAGGAACATGATGTATTTTTCAATATTCATAATCGATTATTGGGAGGAAAAGGAGGTTTGTTTTGATTATCATTATCATTGTCTTTGTCTTTGTCGTAATGGAAATTAGTCAAGACGTTTTGTGGTTTAAGGTTTTGGTTCGCTGCTCAGATCTTTCCGTGTAAATAAAAGTACAAATCAGTTGATGTGTAGAGATCTAAATGGAAGGCGGTTAGCTTCAATTGATGAGGAACGCAAGTTGCGAAAATGGGTTGAGAAAGCTGCACAAAGAGAAAAGGATAAGCAAGAAAAGAGGTTAAAATTCATTTGAAGTTTTTTAAACGTAAATCTATTTGCAGGAAAATAAAGTACGAGCGTTTGAAGAACGGCCCTGCCAAGCATGATTTTAACGATCCAGAGTATATTCGTAAACGAGAAGATATACTCGAAAGTACTGAAGATGCATTTGAACAAGGTAAGACGCATCATTTCCTGTTATTGGTACCCCTTAACTGTTCCAGGTTTTGCTCAGTTCAAAAAAAAGAAAGTTGTTGAGGAGAAAGCAGAAGAATCTTCAGAAGATTCTGATATTGATTTTGATGATTTCATCCAGCTGAGAAAGAATCAGAAAAGAAAGATGGCTTCAGATGACTCGGGTTCAAAAAAGAAAAAAGCTAGAAAGTAAGATTGATATTAACGTGTAGTGTACTAAAACATTTTGCTTTGTTCCAGAGATGATGATGATGATGACTCTTCCGATGACGATGAAGATGAAAATGAGAACGGCGCGGAAATACTCGAAGGTCTTCAGAAATATTTCCAAGCTAAAGGCGCTTCAACATCAAAAGATGTTAGTCATAGATACGGTCATTCTCAAACATACAATACTTTTAGGCAAAATCTGTAAGCATTAAAAATGAACCTGAAGCTTTGAAACCAGCAGCAAATGAGGCAAAAAAGAATTTAAAAAATCAAGCTAAAGAGGAAAAAGAGTTTGAACCAGTGGTCTTAGAAAATTACAAATCTTGTGAAGAATTGAATGAATTGGGCTTGGATTGGCTGAGACATGCTTTGATAGGTAAGTGTTTTTGGAATTACAATGTCTATATTATTTTCTCAGCGCGTGGTTTGAAATGTGGTGGAACTCTAGAAGAGCGGGCTAAACGCTTGTTTTCTGTGAAGGACTTGAAACCAGAAAAATATCCGAAAAGTATTTTAGCAGGCAAGAAACGCCAGTAATTTTAAATAAATTGTTTCTAACTGCTGTAAATATATTTTATATCAAATGTTCGTGACGATAACTATTTGAATCTTGATTCTAATGTTGATCAGTTCTTATTTTTCTTTAGGATGGTCAAACAAGTTGCGAAAAGCAAAGTTGCTGGTAATGCCGCCGCAGGAGTTAAAGAGCAACCTGCAAAGAAGGCTGTTCCTGAAGCCATTCCCGCTAAGAAGACTGATTTAAAAAAGAACAAGAGTCCAAATATGAAGAAGAGGATTGGAAGAGGTCGAGCAAGTCCAGGAAAGAAGAACGTCAAAGACGATAAGGACGATCTCAAGGATGAGGTTAAACATTTGACTGAATTCACTAAAGAGGATGCTGATAGAGTGCAAATTATTAAAGATCAAGTTCGTTTCTTTACTCCAATTGTTATCTGAATAATTGTCTGCTTAGTCATGCTCAGCTCTTGCCGCCATGAGAAAATACTTGGCCCAAGCTGGAGGAAAATCTTTGTTCCCAGACATTGACCACGCTCTCCAACTTATGTTTGTTTATAAGAAACCTGCAATGTGCACTGCGCAATCCAGACATAGAATGTAAGATCTTTAATAGATCTTGTTCTAATCAATTGGTTTAAAGAGTTCTTCCAAAATCACACAAATCTCTTGCTAATACTTCGGTCTGTTTGATCATGCCAGATTTGGATAAGTCTGATAAGGCTAAGGTATGTTCGTACTCTGTGATTGTTATATAGAAAACTTAATAGGTTCATCATGATGTAGACAAACAATCTAGAGAATGGGCTGAAAAAATTGAAGAAGAGCATGGAGTTACTAAAGCTCAAATTGCCAAGATTTTAACGAAAACTGAGTTACAACGCACCGCTCACACATTCAAAGATTTGAGAAATTTGGCATCGTCCTACGATCTTTTCCTAGCTGATGCTCGAGTAGGAAAAACTGTATGCACTATTCTTGGAAAAGAATTCAGAAAAGTTCACAAGTATACACAAGTTTGTTTTGAAATATCTCAGTTCTCTCTTTCAGGAAACCATACTACATCGATTACGGAAAGCCATTGTCTACTACCATCCAAACACTCATCCAGTCCGTAAATTATCCTTTAGAAAAATTCATGACCAGAGCGTGAGTTCATTTCAAAATATTTGTTGTAACTGTAACTTTCATGTAGTTCTGTCCCAATTGGACATCTTGGGCAAGAATCTGACGACATATTGGCCAATGTTGCTGCTGTTCTTGATGAAGGATTGAAGGTTGCCCCAGGAGGGCTTCGGAATATCAGAGGAATTTATCTCCAAACTGCTACTTCAAAGCCCAGTCTTCCAATTTATGCTGACGATGGTACCTAACTTTAAACATGTTTTCTTTATGTGAATTTGTGCTTATAGGATCAAGTAATGATATCACTTTGAAGGTTGAAAAACCAGAGCAGAGACGTGAAAACCAAAAGATAGTCGATGAATGCAGTACTTTGCCTGATGGACTTAAGGTGAGTAGTTTTTTTGGTTCAGCTTTCATGAGCATGCTTTTCTTATAGCTTGAAATCCGTAAAAGCGGAAAGCTCAGAGTTATCAGGGAAGCTGATAACAAGGCAGTGTTATTCCCTACTGGTAAGTCTTTTTAACTGAAACCTATCTACCTCGATATGAATTTAGTTCATGATGAATGGGATGAAAATGATATGCCAAATACTAAACCTAACATTGATCCTGCTAAACTCAAAAAGAAGAGACTTTTGAAGAAGAAGCAATTTGTAAGTATATTTTTGATGCTGTCGTACATACGTCTCTTTTCAGGAGAAGAGAAAGTTAGAAGCTGCGCAACTGAAGGGTACAAAGAAACAGAAGAAAGAGTAAAATTTGTTGGAATTTCTATTGTTGTTGTTATTGTAAAGCTTTGTTGTTTACATCAAATGAAGAATTTGTTATTTCTCTATATGAAGTCTTAAGTTGATAAGGTAATGGATATAGTTTCCCACAAATACATTAAAGAAACTGAGATTCCACTATCAGGCTTTTCAAGTATGTTGGAAAGATGTATGCTGACTCCATGTACAAGCGGTTATTTGAGTACACGTTTAGCTTCTTATATCACGTAGACATTCTTGAATATATCGAAACTCTAACTATATGTTTAAGACACAACAATTATTATAAGATTTTGGGCGTTAAATCTAATGCAACAGCAGAGGAAATCAAAGAGGCCTTTGTGAAAAAATCCAACCAGGTTCTACTGCACCTGAGTATATTCATCTAATTCAATTCAGCTTCATCCAGATGGAAATCAAATGAAAAAGGATTCAAGGATCAATTGGGGCAGGGAAGATTCAACAGAGAAGTTCATGTTAGTAAAAGAAGTAAGAAGAATATTCTAATTATTATTATTAATGGAAAGGTTTTTAGGCATATGATTGTCTCCGGAAACCGGAAAAAAGGAAAGCTTACGATGAAGGTCATAGTACAGATGGATTTCTATTCGAAGTGAGTATTACTTCGCTCTTTTTTCGTTCCGTTATATTTCTCATTGATAAGGTGAAGTCCTCGAATTTTAACAAGGATGACTCTGTGATCAACTTGAATAAGCAACGTACCGAAAGTTATATGGGACCGGGCAGAAAAGAAAGTTTTGGCCAGCATTTCAGGTTCACAAGCAGTGTTCTTATGTCTCATTATTGTCTTTTAAGAGATCCTGAAAAGGAGTACGATGCTGAACTGAAAAAAAACAACTTTCTTAAAATGATAGGGTTTACCGTATTCATGCTGATAGTCTGTAATATAGGATATGTGAAGTAAGTTCATGCTATCAGGATAATCAGTGAGAGTTACTTTCCAGTTGGATGCGAAAGAAGAAACTAGAAAAGTCATAGGAGACAATATTATTTTTCATTAGAATTAAATTTTTTATTATTTTCTTCTCATCGGTATGCAGAAACTGTTGTTTCAAGTTATTATCTGAACTCTTTTGTATTACTCATAGTATGCTCTTAGAATTTTATGGTTTGGTGGAGATTAGGACCATGTAAAAAAATTTCGATCTGTTCGAAGCCTATATTTCGACTTCTTCACACGAGCAGGCTAGAATGATGTCTTCTGTCGCAACTTACAGTTTTATTTAAGAGTTCTATGTAACCACTATAATGTTCTGGGGGTGAAGCAGAATGCGACCCAACGAGAAATAAAGGCAGCTTATTACAAGCTTTCGAAGAAAGTAATCGCCTCAAATCTTTCAAGCTGATTATTTGATTTAGTTTCATCCAGATGTAGCGGGTAACAATGATTCCACTACAAAAAAGTTTCACGAGATTACTGAAGCTTATGAATGCCTGAGAGACCCAGATAGGTCTTAGCTGATTTCTCAACAAAGTTCGATTTTGGTATTTTAAGGAGAAGAGCTTATGATAATCAAACAACCGGATCTGGAGGGAGGTACACCGGAGACTATCGTTATGATCCATTCGCGGTCGGTCTTGATTTCCCACCTAAATTCAAGTTCAGCTTTAGAACTTCAACAACAGAAATCAAAGCTATCAGAACCCTTTTCATAGTCAACAGTTCACACAGCAAGAGTTTGAAAGGGTACGTATATGTAAGTTGTAAATATTTCTGGAACTATTTATCAGGTTTTTCGCGAGTTCAATAGAATCAAGAAAGAGATGAATATGAACCAGGATCAGAGGATGGAATTCGAAAGACAACGTATGAGGATGGAGTTCCAAAGAAATCGTGCTGAACGCTGGAAACAATTCCATCAAAGGTTTGGTTAACAGAAGTGTTTCATTACGTTTTCGTAAATGAAGATATGCCGACGGGCCACCTGGGTCTATCAAGTTTGGATGGCGTTCATCTGCTGGTAATCAGGAACGCATATACAACGCATGGGAACTTATCCGGTAGGTCGTAAGCGGTGTTACTGATGATGAATTCTGTCTTAGGAAAATCATGATGGTCTACTTTCTGATATTTTTCATGATATCGCTCGTGAAAGTGTTTTTAAAGTCTATGTAAGGATATATTTTTTAAATGAAAATCATCTTCTTTCTAGGGGTGACATCAAAAATCCAAGTGGTGCTGTTCCTTTGTCCAACGAAGAACAGATGAGGCAGTTTATGGAGAAAGTACCTACTAACGATAGAGAGAAAATAGTTAATCTTATGAATCAAATGCCAAGTTCTAGTCAAGAAAATGAGTCGAAGAAAATGACGGCTGACAATGATTTCCAACTCTATAATAACACCAGACCTGATTCTATGAGCTTCAATAGTGGATATTCAGCTTATCAGGGTGACCAATATCCTGTAGGAGATAAACGAGGAAGTTTTTGAAATTTGTTTCAAAATATTTATTTTTTCACTCAGTAGCGTGTGAGAGCTCGAATTCAAAGCTTCTGTATCAAAAATTAGCATATAAATATTTCATTCTTACGTATTTTTTGCGCCTATCGGTTGTGTTTCCAGCATCCGAGAGAAGAGTAGACACTTCAGCAGGCTGATCACATAGAAATTTTAACAAACGTAAAGCGTATCAAAGTTCTAAAAAGTTGTTTCCATCGCAAATAGTTCTTCTATATCTTCTTGGAACTTTTCTCTGAGGAGATGCCTTCGTAGCTTCAAGGTGGGTGTCACTAGATTATCTTCTGCTGTCCATTCCTGGAATCTGGTGCTCCGAATAGTTTTTCTCGCAGTTTACCTTTAGAGTTAGCTTCAAATGCTTAATTATCTCTATCGTTTGTAATCCGTGCTCTTTGCCTACAGCATTCAGTTCTTGAAGTACGAATTGGGCAACTGCAGTATCGTTAATCAACTCCACATCAGTAAGATCTTTTTGTTTTGAAAACTTGAAAATTATTTTGTTTGAATTTAAGATTTTGTCAATTGGATAGCACCTCATTTCGCATGTTCAAGGCTGTCTTTATTGCACTGATATTGGCAACTGCAATCCCAACAAGAAAGCTGCGGGTAGTTTCACCAATAACAAGGATCTGCAAAACTGTAATTTTGTTTCTTTGATTCGAACATACTTGGGTAATCAAACTGGAGTTCATGTATATAGCTTCAATTTGTTCTGGAGAAACAAAATCTCCTTGAGCCATTTTGAACAGAGCATTTTTCCGATCGATCACGGCTAACGATCCGTTCTCTTTCCAATGCCCTATGTCTCCTGTATGTAACCATCCCTAAATTTGTATCATATGATCACTATTTTATCAGGGAATAAGCCAACTTCATCATCTATTGTTTTTTTAGTCAATTCTTCGTCCCCGTAGTATCCTTTCATAACTGCAGCTCCTCGGAAACAAATTTCACCCTTATTGTCTTTTGCAAAATACTGCAGTTCCGGCACATCTACCAATTTCACCTATAACTTCCGGTAGGCTAATGCATCGCTAGCGTATGTTTTTTTACCTGTGACCAAGGTGCAGGTCCGCCGACTACACCGGGTTCGTGCTCGAACGGTAAACTTAAAGTAGCAGCAGCAGCACATTCGGTCTGTCCATATCTGAATGGGAGCGTTTAGAGCTCATGATATGTGTGCTAACCCCTCAACGAGTGGACATCCATAAGCAATGCGCGTGAAGTTTTTCACTGCTGAAGTAACAGGAGCTCCACCTGTTGTAATCATCCGCAATTTTCCACCAAAGAGAGGGCGAAGCTTGTTGAAAACAATCTTATCCCAAATTGTATCATAGCGCTGGATTCCTTTGCTGAGCAGTTTAAGTTTTTGCTGAAAACATATTATTCGACTGATATTCAGAAAACCATTACCGTTTTCGCCATCTGGAAAATTGTTTTGCTCAAAACATTTTTTTTATTGACTTCCGCATGAATGTGATCATGAAACTTATTCAATAACCGAGGCACGAGACTAATAATGGTCGGACGCAAAAGCTAACAGAGTTAAGGTTGATGAATATTATTTGATTTAAATTACTTGAATATTCGCAACAAGCTGAGTAATGTTTCCATTATAAATGCCAATACTTCCGCCTATATAAATAATGAAAGCCTGTAACTATAGAGTTGTCGGATCCAACGTCTGTATGTTAACCTGCATCAGATGCTCATAGACATGAGCCAAGCTTAAAAAGCTGAAATATATGTCTTTGCTATCGAAGTGGAACCGATTAGGTGATGGAACCCATTGTAAATATAAACCCGATGATGCTGCTAATAGGTTACCATGTGTCAGCATTACTCCTTTGGGAGTGCCTTAACAAATAATAATTTCATGTCTTTTCACTTGTATAACCTGTTGTACCACTTGTGTGGCAAATGAGGTAAACGTCGTCTTTGGAGGGTGGAATGGGTTGACTACGATTAGCTTTTCCAGTTTCATAGAAATCAGAATATGAAATAATCTGAGAGGGGAGTAGTTTTTCGGAAAAGCGTCAAAAAACTACCTGAACAAATTCTGACCCTGTAGTTGGTACATCAACATCGGGCAGTAATACGATTGTTTTCAAACATTTTAGGTCATTTGATCGTTTTTTCTCAATTATTTGAAGGCAGCGCTCTGTTCCATCGACAAATATCAGAGATAATTCGCAGTTATTGATGATGTGACTGAACAAGGGAAGAGGTAGTCGTAAGTTGAAACGGAGAAGACTCAAACAAACCATAAATGGTCCAATTTAGAATTGTGATATAGCGGGACTATAGTCATGCTATAAGAGACCATACCATGCATAGCAATTATGAATCTGAAAAGTTTCATTTAGTAATCTTCCAAAGGCTTCAGATTGCCTTGTACTCTGGATGCCTGCAATTCCAACTCTGTCTTGTGGTTTTAAACCTTGTGCTAACATAGCTGAACCAAGAATTTCTGCATCTTCAATAGCCTGTAATTATGTATCAGGTTCAGAAGCATTGCTGTTTCATTACAGTTTTATAATCAACCCAATTATAAGCTCCATCAACTATCTCTCCTAGAAACTTCCCAGTCTCCGAAATGGTCGAGCCACGTTGAATACATTCATATATAGTATGAACTGTTCCACATGGTGGCTCAGTGACTAATTCTATGAAAAGACGATTCATCTTTGAAAAAAAAACACAGTTCTTCCCTACCTTTAACAAAAACATTTTCACGAATTCCTTCTTCTTCATTGGTAACACGTGAAAGCTGTTCAAATACAGGAAACTTATGATTGAGATCGGATGGGACTGAGGCGTCTACGTAGACCATAACAAATCTAAACGGATCAAGCGATTAGATAAACACAAGCAATTTCATAACAGTAATACGAAATCTGTTTTTTGATTTCTTGTTTTTCATTTTCTAGACTATGCATCAACACGGTGACAGTCAAATGATAATCCTGAGAAAGAAGTTTTCAAGAACGAAGAAGAGGTGAGAGTGAATTTTCAATATGGATAGCAAAGTACATTGCATTGACAGAAAGAAGTTGTCTAGATGAAATGATTTCAGAGGAGGATTTAAATGTATACATATACATGCGTCCCAATTGGTTACCAGTTTATGTAACATCTTCCGGTTTTATCTTAGAATTACAGCTAGTAAAACGTGAGCTGAACATTTATTTAAGGCAATATCTAACTTATGAAGAAGAAGAAGAAGAAGAAGAAGAGCTATGCAACAAACGGTCTTACAGTTTTTCAAATTATACTCTTCTTCAAGTAGAGTAGTGTGTCATCTAATTGTAAGTGTAACAGAAAACGGAAGAGGAGATTTAAGTGGTCAGAGTGACGAATTTTTTTATTATTTGAAGTTGTTTTATTAAGTATTGAAGAGAAAGAGAGAAAGCATGAGGTACGGGTTCAGATAACCTGAGGCATACATATCATAAACGTTATTTATGAAAATTATAAACGTCAATGATGTGTTCGTATCACATTTCTATGCAATCAGTTTTCTCTTTCATCGCTCTGTATACCTGGTTATCCTTTAGATGTCTTACCAATCTTTCATTTCTTTTGTATTTCTTTGAATCTCGATGTCTGCGCTAGTTATATCATTTACCATAATGATCAATGGGTAGAAGGATGCTATCTGATGAGAAGAGTGATTGGTAATGTTTTGAGTTTAGCACACGCACAGAATGTTTGCATTCACAAAGTTTTTGACATTTTTTGACAATTCTTATTCGGAAGTAATTCCTTGCATGTTCATGTTGATGTCTTTTTCTTCTCTGTTACCTCCATACGGATCATTGGTGTTGTCATGTTTGCTGTCTGATGGTTCAATGATCGTCCATTTCCTAGTCTTCTCTCTTCTTCACCCTAAATCTCTATTCATATTATTCTCGCTCTCTGTATTTGAAATTATATTTATCTGAATCATTTCACCTCTTTTCTCATCTTGACCTGGAAATCGGAATGGTCAGGCGACTTTAATAATGAAAATTTTCTTCGGAAACATCAATTCAACATTTTTTCTCCCCACTGACAGCTCAATTGTCAAGTTTTTGTCTGTTCCGATAGATAGACAACTTCTATCTATTTAATAATAATATTGAAAACTTTGTTTTAAAAACAAAATATGATTACGAAATGATTTATTGAATTATCTTACCTCTACATGGAAAGGAATTCATACACAACAAACTAATCAGACGTTAGATTTCTCGTAAACTCTAAGATCAAACAGGTTGAATAAACATTTGAAACTGGAACAAGTAGGCTTGAATGCTATATTCAGTAACATAACAGAGAACATAGACTGAGATTAGAACTAGTTAATAAGTTCTTTTTGGAAGTAATTAATTCTGATGCAAGTGTGGTGAATCTTAAAGTGGATGAAGATACGGATATGGGCCGATGGCATGTGCAAGTAGGCTCCCGCACAACGGTATCAGAAAATGCGTAGATATTGGCATTGTGTGGCAATGTGTTTGCAACAGATTCGAGTGATAGTTTGCTCCTTGATATTGCGGTACTGGGAAAGGAGTGTTACGCACGTCAAGAGAAAATGGAGAAGGTTGGAATTGATTCAACAAATCAGGAGCACATTGGAACAAGCTGTTGCTCAGTTGTGGCAATATCCTTCTCGGACTTTCCGCAGGAGGATGAAATGGAGCTCTGTTGCTCACCAAAGCTGGTGGTGGAATATCAGAAGGAAGCTGAAATTTTTTTTTCTTTAATCTCAGAGTATAATGCTCACCGATAAGGTGTTAACTGGAGCATATGGACAATGATGGTGGTAACAGCAAGTGTTCGCTCTCCGAGGCTCAGATGGAGCATTTATTATAATCTGAAATGCTGTTTGAGATTTATACTCCTAGAAAACAAATACGATTTTCGTGGTTTTCGGCTGTGTTGAAGGTGGGTTGATTTCATTGATATCAAATTCTTGAGTTCCAGGCACATTTGAGGGCAACTCTTCCAAATGATAAACTCTTCTGTCCTCCTCCAGTTCATCAAGGTCTTCAGTAAAGTCAAGGTAATGCGGTGAGTTGCCCTGAAATAAGAACATTTCCAATAAATATTTATGTACATTAATTATGAGTGGGACAAAAGATCAATTTACCAGGCTTAGGCATCTTCGATACGGGTCAAATCGTGCCTTTCGTGACTTTTTGCTAGAAGTAGACGCTTTTCCACCCGAAGGTAGCTGTACATCTTCGGAATATGGGTCCATTGGCGGCTCAAGCTCGCTTGCATCGTCAGCAGCATCATTATAGGGTGGAACTTGAAGGAATGGTCTCTCCCGATTCATTTTAAAATGTTTTATTACGGAAGAAGGTAGACTTGCACGTTGTTTTATCGAGAGAACGCCTTCACGGGATCCTGAAGAAAAGAAGAGGAATGATGATTGTAAGAAGCTGAATTAGAGAAACGGAATAAATGAATATCTTAGTAACTCAATGATATTCCAATTAAGCATAATTGAGGCAATTAATTTGTAAAAATGTGCAAAATACTGGAAAGTCTCTTGAACATGCATCAAGAAGGATGAATAGCAGCGACAAGAGATAGATAGATGTCTGAGAGAATAAGCATCAGTTGATAGGGAGGCACATATGAGAATGATACATATACTTCCATATTCATGCTTCTTTTGACTGATTAATGTTTCAAAAAAGAAATTCGAAATAAAAAGTGGCAATCGGCCGACATGACCAGATTTAATAATGAAAATAGTGGTAAAAGAGCTGCTAGCAGGACAATTCGTCATCGATCGCCGGGCCTAACAAGGAGAGAGATGCTTACGGCATATCAGAATTGAGAGAGCAGGATGAGAGCTGAAGCTAGCTCAAGGCTGCAGACTGGGCAGCTTTCTCTTCCTCTGACGGCAAAAGAGGCAAAGTGAAACTAATGAACGGTTGAGACGAATGAAGTAGGCGTTTATATGTGCCATATAAGCAGCGATGTATGTTTGTGTGTGTGTGCGTGTGTGTGCGTGTGTGTGTATGTGAGTGTTGTATATTGATTGCCATATGAAACAAAAAGAAATTTTAATGACAATATGAATACGTCAAACATAATTGAAACAACTCTATATATACACATATAGTGATCATCATGTAATTATGCGTATAAATAGAGTTCCTGCAGAACTATCATAGCTATATCATATTAATGAGAAATACGCAAAAAAAAATTGGAAGCCATGCTAGAGCTTTCAGCTGTCCAAACTTATGATTTTGGTGAAATGTGGGCAGGACCAGTGCCAATAATCCGGTGATCAAGACAAATGTTATAATCTTACACATTTCATTCCTCAATCTACAACTTTCGTCACTTATCAGTCCTCCAATGATATTTCTGCAACTTGGACAAACACGGAATTAACAATATATCGAGACTTGCGATTCTTGAGGAGCTGCACCACCAGGGAAATCTTGTCTTTCTCTCTCTTCTTCTCTTCACAACCAAATTCTCTCTTCTTTTGTTGTTGCAAACGCTCTTTCTTCTGTTTTTCTTCCAAATTGTTATTTTCAACTTTTAACTATCGCTGTATCTCTCATATTCAAAAACTAAAAATACATATTTACTCATTTTCCCTCCTTTCTCCCGGCCTTCCTCTCTGTCTGCCACTCTGTGTTTTGGTCTCATTTTTCAGATTTCCACACATTTTAACCAAAAGTCAATCTGATATGGAATGAGAGAACTCCACAATCCTAAACATCCATCCGGGGAAAAAAGCGATTTGAAATTTCCTAAAGGAAATGAATTCTGATGAGATTTCGGTTATATATCATATTCGGTAAAAAAAAGAAAAAATAGAAAAGATGAAAGGTTTATTTGAAACACAACAACTTGAGTGAAAGTCCATCCAAATCAGCTCTCGTCCTCCCTGTAAAATGGAAATTTAGAAATGTGATGGGGATCATGTCAACAAGTCTTCTCCATTCTCAAACACACG